CCCACCTCCATCGGCAACCTGAAGGAGCTGCGCTACCTCGGCTTGTCCTACAACCACTTCACCACGGTGCCCAGCTGCACCATCAAGCTGAAGAAGCTGGAGAAGGTCAACCTGGAAGGGAACCCCATCAAGTACCAGGAGGCGACCGGAGTCAAGAAGGGGTCGAAAGCGGACCGTTTTCACGTGGTCAAGGAGAGCCTCCTGTGCAAGAACTGCCTGCAGAGTTTTCAAATCGACAGGGAGAAGCTGAACAGCATTGACGGCTACGACACCTAGCGGCCGTATGGGTTGGGGGTGGGGTGGAGTTTGTTGACTTTTAAAATGCATTCGCGCAACTCACAATGAGGTCAGTGAGAGCATCATTTATCCTTGATCCTTTTTTTTTTTTTTGTCATGGTGGATGCACGTAATGCTGGTTGGGTGAGAGTTGCTTTGGGGTTTTTGTTACGGCACATCTAATATGAATTAATATACACCAATTTAATAAAAATAAACTATTTGGTTTTTATGCGAACACGAATAAAAGTGATTTTCAAAAATAATCAAATAATGGAAGAATATCTAATTGAAAATTTATGGTTTGTTTTTTTTAAATAGTAATACTATGCACCAACATTTAAGCTGGAATAAAATGTAAGGATGAACCGAAAATTTGCGGCAATAGTATGTTCATACCTTTTTGACACCTTGGGGGGGGGAGAGAAAGAAAGAAAGTAAAACACTTTAGCACTTTTTCTCTTCTTTAGTTAAACTTCCCACAATCCCACACTGCATCAGTGCCATATGACCAACCTTTAGATTATTTGGAATCTTTTTAGCCAACTTTATGATGCATTTTCTGCATTCAACATCTGCGGTAGTAATCTGCAGAGAAAATTCTGTTTTTAATTATAAAATATTTTCCACTTTTATAAATTAATCACTTGAAAACTTTTGCAATTTACTCAGGTCGCCTTTGCATGACATTGTCATATAAAATTTTGTACAGACCGTCAGTGAAAAACAGTGTTCAGTCAGAGGCCTCTTTGAATTTCTTCTACTACAGACTGCTACAGGAGATTTTTTTTTTCTGCCTTCTGCCATCATCATCTAACTCTTTGATTAAATGAGTTACAAAAGTATTAAGTTTGTCTTTGGGATCAATAATAATTTTTTTGAATTGTTTTGTCAAACTTTCCAAACACCAGTGGCTCAATCGAGTTCATGGAAGCTCAACCGTTTAGGTCAGAACACTCGAAAGCTCCCATCTGAGATTAAAGAACATTTCCTAAGGCTCTAAAGAAATGATTGCATCACTCTACGTATAATGAGCCTACATATATAAGCTTAACTGTTTTTTTAATAAAAGTATTTTTTTTTCAAAAATAGGTTTTCTGTAATATTTCACATCAAATCTTTGACATTTAAAAAGCAGCACTGCAGGTTTTGATAGTTGTGATCCACTAGAGGGCAGCAGAGGCTTTTGGTTCCTACCACCCCATTGGATCAGAACGATCCAATCACAGTGAAGGTGTCTTTGTTTTTCTGATTAGTTTAGGGTTCTTGGAACCATTGATGAAGTAGGAATGTTGCTCTTACTGAAAGAAATGCAAGATTCAACTTTTGAATTTTGGATCAATGTGGACAGTCTGATGGCCTATTTGTGTCAATGTAGATGGGGGGTGGTACATTTCTGCCAAAAGAATTCCAAAATTTTGAGATTAATCTCAGAAATTTTCAAGGAAAATTTACATTTTCAAGGAAAATTTACATTTTCTGCGCTCAAAAAGTGAAACATTTTCTTGTTTATTCTTAAAGTTACAGTGACATTTTGGTGCATTTCTCAAGCAGTTCGCAGTTATTTGATATAAATGACAATAGATTATTGGCATCGCTACGGAGGAATATAGTCCTCTTTTTTTTCTTTTTTTTTTTTGCAGAATTGTTTTCAATTGGAGGAGTCCTGAGACTGAATAGCATCTCAATCAGACTGAATTAAAGACTTTGGGTGTAGAGCAGGGCCGACCGTCCACTGGGAAGAATCAATACTTGAGATTCTTTCCCCCCATTTTTTTTTCACCACTGTGTTTCTCAGTAAATGGCTTAGTAACCATCAACTGATAAATGTCCACAATTTTGTTTCTCTTTTGTTCTTACATTTCTCTAACTGCACTTTGAAAAATTTTTTTAGCGGACTTCATCATGTCAGATGGGTTCTGTTAAGGTATTTTCTTTATTCTACATAGAATAATGTAATCTGTTAAATTAAGTCATAAAAAATGTTCATTTCCACATAGAGCTAGGTCACTTTAGACTGAGTTTTTCCTGAAATGAATCTGTCACTTGAAAACGTTTGTAATTTACTCAGCTTATTTTCTATAATAACAAAAAATAAAAATAAAAAATGAAAAAACAGCCTGTCGGTGGAAAATACATTTTCACAAATCTGAAGGTAAAGAAAAATGTCACGAAAAAGAGAATGCTGCGACGACTCAACATCCATTTGAAATGACACAGAGGAGTGACCGCCGGCGGACGTCTGCTATCCTGTCTGCTCCTGGAAGAGTCAGTGGTGGATGAAGCCATGGCCCTTTTGTTAATTGTCAGTGACAGAGAACAGGGCGAAGGTAATGGAGGGCAGAACCAGGGTCAGAGAACCAGACAGGCAGACGACCGCTGGGGAAATACCTGAACTGAAAGTCCTCAAACAATCCCACTTCTCTCCTATCTGCACTTCCTTTATTCTAATTAAGGATGTGATCAAGCTGATCAGCATGAAATGCAAAATCATGTTAAGTTATATCCAAACTGAAGTTATTGCACACAGATAGCTAAAAGGTTGAATGTACTACCGCAAACATCATACTAAAGCTAAAATGCTAAACCAACATGGCATTTAGCCAGACGCTAATGCTAACGTACTAAATTCAAACATCTCAATATCCACCAGGAGACAAAATGCGTTGCCGCCATGTGTATCTGAGGAGAGGAAAGGAAGTGCTGCGTAAACAGTCTTCACCCACTTCAAAATAAGAGCATGAATATAAACATCCAGCTACTTCAAAAATCCTCAAGTGTTGAACCAAAAGGTTAACAGACACGCTGAAATGTCTTCATGTTAACGTTTGCAAAACCACCAAGTGAATTGTCCCCTTTGAATTTGTTTGAAAAAAATAAGCTCATCTGGCGCTAACTGCGCTAAATGTTTTCAAGGTTAGCAAAATGCTAAAGTGCTAAACACCTTTGCTAACAACACATTTTGTGAGCTGCGACTAAAAGAATGTCAGCTGCTAAATTGTTGGTAAAAGTGTGATCACCGCTCGCTGTGATTCCATTCCAAATGTGCACAAAACTGTCACTGTCCAGCTAATGGGTTAAGGTTTTTAACTGTTAGGTTTCCATTGAGCAAAATTAATTTCTAAATGTCAAATTGCAAAACTAAATGATCGACGCAGCCTCACTAATCCAAATACTTTTGAGACTTTGTGACATCCACAAGCTCATCTTGGAGATGTTTGATTTTCTAAATGACCACAGAATGAAGTAAAAATGTGTTTCGGATTAAAGAATGCCTCAAATCAACATGCTGTAAAGACATTTACCTGCAAAACATTGAAAAATGTGCCACTAGATAAAACACCAAGTTTATTTAAGATCTCAGCAGCCTGTCTGAAATCGTTGGCGGCTCAGTTTAATGCATTCGGTCACAAACGATCAATAAGTAATGCTAAGTCAACAGTCACACCTTCAGCAGCCACCCTGCAGTGTGTTTTGGAACAGCCCGCCAGCACCACTATGAAATATTAATCATGGTCAGTATCAATATTTTAAAAGGTTTTCCAAACATTGTGGATTCCGAGGCTCTTATTGGCATTCTGAGAGTCATCCGTCTTGATTATGTGACCTGAGATGTCAGGAGACAGAGGAACACAATTATAGACATATGAGACGGGCAGAGATATGCTAACTAGCCTCATTCCACAAATACACATCTTGGGTATTCTTTAAGACATCTATGTTGCAAACTATGGGGCCAAAAACAAGCAATTGTTGACTTGAGTACCAGTAACTGAAGATAACCCATTGATACTGCACTCATTAACTGCCTTTCTAATGACCATGTAATTGTGCAATTTTGCAGTTAACATTTTGAAAACACATTTGCTGAATGGAAAAATGCCAATTTCACAAAAAAGTAGTTTTTCTCATCAATGTTTTGTTTATGCGTTGAGGTTAGAAAAGGTTGATAAAAAGGCCTAACCAGAAACACATCTGGTTTCAATACACTCGCATTTTCTTTACCTTTGTTGATCATTTTCCTGTGCTGCTATTCAACTAACCTCATCTTGCCCAAATACAGCAACTCTCAATGGTGCGTCAAATAAAACAAAACTCGACGTACACAAGACGGATGGAAGAGCCCCAAGAGTAAAACAGAAAACCTCCACCCTGCGTCCAACCCTTCCCATTCCTCCGAGCTGCAGAGAAAAGACCCGACTTTGAGACAAGCTCATCTATAAAAAGCCATGTGGTTATGGCTAAAGAAAAACAGCATTTCTGGTTGTGGGCTGGCTTTTGCTATTTGGCTTTGACAATGTCCTCTTCCCTCTGCTTGCTGTCATTGTCCGCCAGTCCAGGGTCTGATAGCACCTGATCAAATTGAAGAGAGACGGACCCTGAACCACACCCAGCCTGTAACCCAGCCTCAGCTTTAGACCAAAAGCTTAATTTGAATTGCTCGTTTGGAGTCGTTTCGTTCCAGCTTCTAGTTTCTATTGTTGCAGCTTGTGAGACCCCGTCTGCTAGTTTGACTCCATTTAGCTTTGGACTGTGTCTGCTTCGTTTTACCAGCTTGTTATCTTTGCTGTATGTGAAGATGGTTGCACGTAATGTGTGGGCACTCGCTCCCCCTCTGGGTCTTTCTCCCTTTTTACTCTGTAATAAGAGCAGCTGTGGCTTACGCCAGGCCAGCTCTGATTCGATTGCAGTGAAACTAAGGGCATTATCCTTTGTACGCCGGAGGAGGGCCAAGCAGCTGCGACAGGAGCAGCGCCAAACGGCAGGTTTTGGGGTTTTCTTTAAGAAGACGGCAGAGAGTGGAAAAATTTCACAGATTAGCCTCCCGACAAGAAAAGAAAGGGACATTTTACGCACAATACTGTGGACAAATCCTGAGCATCAAATTGCCCTGAGAGCAAACAGAAGGAAGCTTCAAAGGTGATTCTCAAGCAAACACTAATTTGTGGTTGATGACAAATACTAAACCTTTCTCAAAAAAGTTTTTTGCTTAGCCACAAGAGATTTTTAAACATTTGAAGGAATCGCCATTTCAGATGCAAATTTTGTTCAATTTTATGTCCAAATAAAGCAAAACCTACTTTGGATACATTTTTCAGATTGCTCTCCCAAACTTATTCTTCTGTGTTTGAGGACTGGTGAGATTACACTGATCATAATCTGAATTACCGTTCATTAAAAGCTATCTCCGTAGGTCTATGATAATGGCTGCTACTCATACAGCAAACTGTACAACATGGAGCGCCGCAAGGCAGCGCTCTTGGTCCAATCACATGTCCAATATTAACACTCCTGTACTTGTCTCTGACGGTAGATCATTTGTGAGTTGATTACATGGTAAAAATGTTCATAGGGTGACGACCGGTCGGCTGCACAAGCAGACAGGGACGCACACCAAACTTTTTATTATAAATCTTTTGATGGGAAGCAGCAGTCCATCATGAGGACTGGCATCCATTGAGGTACTTGCGGATTTGCATCGACCGCTTTTTTTTTTTCCATCAGGTAAGAGAGATATTTATATACTTTATACGCAAGTAAGTTTAGTAAGATGTAATCAAATATTGCATTCTGGAGAAGGTGTGTGTTCATTATACCAATTCAGGACTAAAGATTTTTTTTCGTTGGTTAGCACTGAGAAAAGGCCCTGCCATCATGTAGCCTACGTTGTATGAAAAAACTTGTAAAAACTTTGATTGATTGATTGATTGATTGATTGATTGATTGATTGATTGAGCATCTAGACTTTTTTACGCTTTTAAGTCGGCTCTGGCCCAAGAGGAAACGCCATTTATGATTTAGCGGTGTAAATATATTGTGAATTTAGGCAGATCTGATCAAATCAACAAACACTCCAGGCATAGAAGTTATGGTCGGTTTGTAAGCCAGTTAGTTCCAACATTTGTAAATACCGCGGTCCACAAACCCAATCTGAGAACCCTGATTGGCACAGAAATGAGAACCCCTGCTCCTCATTTCTGATGTCTGTCATAGCGCCTCAACAACAGCTTTTATATTTGCCTGCTTTTTGAAACTGCTTCACTTTTCTACCATTTCAACTAAAATTGCTTTCCATGTTCCATTTTCAGTACGCTTCTTATTCCAGCTTAGCACCAAGAATGTGACAGTTGTACTCCATGTCACGGACGCCGCTCTGTCTGGCGGCTCTTGAAACTCTTGACTCCAGCTGCGGCTCACGCCTCGTGAAATCCCCCCCAAACTCACAAAATATGCTTTGGTTCACAGATCTCTCAAGGATGTCATTATCAAGTTACTTGGGGAAAAAAAAAAAACTTACTGCAAGTTTGCCTTCCACTCAACTTTCCAACTGTAAGTTTGAATGCAGCTTTCAGGGAACATCCAGCTTCTTTATCCGCAACATGTCCAAGTGGTTGACTGATGCAACGGTCAACTCATGAGGACTCTTCCAAATTGTTATTGAATAACTACTGTTCAACTAAAAGTTAGCGCATCAATGTTGGTGAAATTATTGGTTTCTCTGCGCTCCTCTTCTTTCTGTGCGCAGCCCTTCCTCAGTTTCTCCAGTTAATTAGCGGCTGCTGCAGCTCAAGGTGACAGGAAGCTGCTGGAGGGGACCCTTTTTTTTTCCCTCTGCCCTCCCGGTTGTTCAGAGACGTCCCATAGGAACGCCGGGAGGCTCTAATTACGACATATTGTCTAAGCCGGCGTTTGCTCTCTCGCTGAAATAAGGTTCTCTGGCTAAAACAAAACCGAGGCAGGGTTAAAGGTGAGGATGGGTTTGGGGTCAGAGGTAGATAGAGAGGAAGGGAGGAAAAATAGAGAGAAAAAAAAGAAAAGAAATAGAGACACCTTTGCATGTGTGCACATTTTGTCGGTGATGGACCCTTCCTCACTTCCCACAGGCGGGGATGTAAAGCTATGAATAATGTAACAGGGAGGGGCGGAGGACCACTGGGTGTGGGCAGAGAAAAAAAGCAAAAAAAAGCTGTAGTTCCTCCTCCTTCCTTCCCTCACCGCCCCCGTTTTCTTTCCATTCTCCTCCCCTCGCCACGGTTCACCCAACCCCCTAGCAGCCGGCCGCACTGCAGAAGGTCAGAAGAGGAGAAGAAGAAGAGGAGAGAGGCAAGGCAGGGGTGGGGTGTGTGTGTGTGTGTGCGTGGGCGTGCGTGAACTTACGGGAATATGCCGAGGGGAGAGCGATGACAACCATGCTGAGCCCAAAGATCAGACAGACCAGGAGAGGTAGGTCGCTTTTCCCTTCACGTCGCGCGTTCGCTGACAGCTGCAGCATCACTGTCTGCTCTGCGCTCAGTTGGCTCAAATGAGACAGAGGCACACAGAGAGTCATGCGACTTTTAGGCGTTTGGTGAAAACACTTTCAATTAAGATGAAACTGCGTCTGCAGAAACACTTTTAGTTGTCACGTTTTCTCCTGCCCATGCAGCTGGATGCTGCTGCTGCTGCTGGAGTGTGTGTAGATGTGTGTGTGTGTGTGTGTGTGTGTGTGTGTGTGTGTGTGTGTGTGTGGGTGTGTGTGTGTGTGGGTGTGTGTGTGTGTGTGTGTGTGTGTGTTTTACAGGGGGAGAGCAGCATCTCTGGTTCCATCAGCGCCACGAGTTTGGTGCTGATGGGACAGTAACACGCGTGTGTGTCCCTGCCGGTGGATTTATTAACAAAGCGTGTGGATGCAAGTCTTCCTTCCTCTCTTGGCACTAATCTCCATGACGACAATTATACAGCTGGATCAGATTAAGTTGAAATAAATAGGTCCTCGTCACGAACGGGAGCGTGATGATCAAGTGGTGTAAAATTGGTGACAAAGCGGATTAATCATATTTGTGTAAGTGAGCAAGGCCATTTTAGACATCATGGCTCAATTACATAAAACTAAAAATAAGGTGGTTGACAATTATGTTGGTTTATCACGTGTTCAAAAAGAAAGCGAGTTCTCTTTTTACTTGAAGTTCAATGGCTTTATTAGGTCCTTGCTTCATTTCTAACATAGCGAAAGCAAACGCGTCAAAAAGTCGATTTGGCCTGAGAAGCATCCACCCCATCGCGCCCGTAAACTGCGGCCCGTGCGCCAACGGCGCCACATTTGCCGCTCGGGGCGCATGAAAAAGCGAGCGTGTGACAGACGTAGCAGGGGGTAACGCCTGCTGAGGCGAGGGTCAGAGCAGTTCAGAGAGCCAGCCACGGCGCGCGCTGGTAAGTAATTGAACCGCTCACCATGTCACGTCAAAAACCTCAAGGAAAAGATGTAAGCGTAACCGCGTAATTATCTGATATCGACGTGAGGGGGAAGATGGTGGAATATTTATTACCTAGGAGGCTGAATGGGCTCTTTAAACTCCAAATACATCCTTTAAAAAAAGAAATTATTTAGATTGTGGAGCTGTGTATAAAGGACACAACAACATATCCAGCTAATGACACGATACACAATACTGGACTCCAAAGAGTACCAGAGATTTAAGATATAAAATCAGTATCACAAATCATAACCTGAGCTTCAAAGAGTCCGCAGTACTGACAGCAGATTATGTTAATCTGGGTTTGATTGGAGGTATTTTTGGTAGTCTAAATATAAAGTGGTTCTAATGAGGGAAGAAAATGTGAAAATAGAATCTTTTGGCACAAATTTTGCAAACAGCAAAGTGATGTTGTAGAAAGTCATTAAAAACACTAATCTGGTCCTGCCAGCCAGTGGAGGCTGATCAATAGTGGAGTAATGTTTCCTCTTTGGCTGTTCAAACACAAGCACCGTTTTTTTGTTGTTGCTTTTTTGTTTTTTAATAATGTGCAAATATATTCAAAATTAATACTCCTTTTACAATGTTATTATCTTCAAGAGATATCCATCAAGAAAAGAAAAACTGCCCAGTTAGTTAAATATACTTAAATTAGTGAATACACATTTTAGCTTAAAAAAACAAAAAACTGCCAAACTAAATTTTAGGTCAGTTGTACAAAATCTAGAAATATGCAGAAATAACATGGCTGAGACAGGCAGTGCTGACTTGTTTTATGTTTATTATAGTAAAGAACGATGGTACTGCCTCTAAACAGAACTTCCATTATATTTGTGGTAGATTAGACTATAATAATTGAACCATATTATGTTTCATTATGAATCCTTGGGTCAAACATCGATATAATCAGCCATTTAGCTTCCCAGTCAGTTTTACTGGTTTGCCAACTAGATAATTAGTTAACTTTCAGCTGGTTTGCAAGATACCGTTTGTATAAATTATTTTATTCTGTTTTTAGTGTTTATTTAAAGCTAAAAAAAAAAACAGTTAAATGAAAAAAATAAACATTTTCATGCAAACAAAGGTTGTGTCAAAATCACTTTTGAATCACTTTTTTAGAAACGTTGTTAAGATCTGAGGATAGTTTAAGACAAATGGTCCATAGAGGTTTATTTTTAATCAACAGATCTGTTTTACAGTGGAGAAAGGAAAGAAAAAAATAATCCCACTGCTGTGGCTTCAGTAATCTCATCAAACGTCAACATTTTGAAGCTGTAATGGGTTTGGTGGTGCAGCGGCTGGCACCAGGAATGAAGCAGCAGCTGTAATTGCCCACATATCAGCTGCTTCTCGCTCACGCTGCGTTTCTGATCTACGTTTCCATGGTTTTATGATCAAAGTGTTACAGTGCAGCTCCACGCCGACATTCTGTCCCCCCCCCGAGGCATGTGACTGAAAACTGATGGGTCTGGGTACTGTGAGGAAGAGTGTGGATTAAAAAAACCAAACAAAACACACAGACACACACAGATAATGTGAATAATGTGAATGTGGGGTATGACTTAATGCACACACTCATTGCTGCAGATATGTTCCACTTCACTGCAGATTTCAAAGTGACAGGTGTGTACGTCAACTGCCACACCTCCAGAAAGTCAAGGATTGATGCCACACGCGACAAGAAACACACAGACACACACACACACACACACACAAACACACACACTAATACAACACATGCATTAGTCAGTATGAGATAACTGGATGTTCCACTCTGATGCACCTGTAACCCTCTCCGCCGGCTTCCCCAAGCCATAAATCACAGAACAACAACTAGATTAGCCAAATTAAATTCCTCCACCGTGCCTGTATGAACAGCTGTGTGTATGTGTATTCATACGTGCAATGCAGCTTTCTGTGTCATTTTCTGTAGCCTTTGTAGAGAACCCACTTTAAGTTACTCATGGGGATTCTGCTCTCCGGTGTGCATAGAAGCCATTTACTGCTGGTGATGAATATACGACTCCATGATGTATGAGGTGGCACTGTCGAGACTTAAAGCATGCAGGAATGTTGCATCAGGTATTGTAACACTTGGGTTTTGTTGTAAGCTTGTGGACGACCATTTGTGCACATGGTAACAGATTCTCATGTGCCACAAATGAGTCCAGTTGCTCTGCGGCTGCCAGTTCAGAAACTGATTAAACAATTGAGAATTAAAAGAATTCTTCTGGAAGAGAACTAATACAAAATCTCAAACTATCCATAATAACTTAAACATAAAGAAATGCACTAATCACCCATGTCTTGGTGAATCTGCTTCTGCATCAAAGAGGTTTGAAGTTGACTGCTAGGTGATGGAGTCTGATTAATAGTGTTCTGTTCTTTACATGCATCAAACACAGCCAGTGGCTTTTGGTTTTCTGATTAGTCAACCACTTTGTACCCTTCTACGTTAAGAGTTAACTGCATGTTGCTGAAGGGGTCAACTGTGGAGGATTACACTATTAGTGTCAGATTCTGCATTAATTACTGTAAGAGTTACCGTGAACAAACTCGTCCAATGCAGGCCAAAATTTGGAAACAATGCCAGTATTCACTGGATATCCAGAAACACTTCAGGTTTCTTATGAACTTTTATAATTACTCTAGGTAAAAATTGATCTTAAACAAGAGTTTGATGGAATAGTATTTCAGGTTAGTTGTAAGATTGAGAAGATTGGAAAAAGTCACAACTTCAGGGCAAAAGTACAAACAAAATCCTGGTTTGGAAACTCTGTATGCGCTGATGTTGTTAAAACCTTGTGAGGTCACTTCCATTGGCAAAAGATTTGTTGTCTCTACCTACACCAAATGACTTTGCCGGTGACCATCTTCAGGGACCATTGGCAAGAAGTCAGCAGCTCATCGCAAGGCGTTGCAGACACACGACAACTATGCACAGACAGACTCCCTCCGAAGAGAAACCAATCAACCCAACAGTCGTGTTTTTGGATTGTGGGAGGAAGACGATATTAAAACATGTCGGTCAAATTCAATCGTCAGACGTGTTTTCACAAACATTGAGCACATTTTGAAGGCAACATGACTGGGTCAAAGAATTAGGGCTGAAATGATTAGAGCGATTCGAGTACCTCGATTATTAAAATTCCTTAAGGAAAATTGACCTTTCTCGAAGCGTTAAGTTATATTTCAATATTTAATGTACCGTGTTCCAGCAGCGCTCTCACTTTGAGGCTGCCTTTTTATTAAATTTAATATCACTTCAGATTCTTGTATTTTCTTCAGGTTAACTTAGAAAGTGAGCTGTTATTGTTACAGATTAATTTTCTAAACTACAGAAACGTTATTGTCAGGGAAGCTCAAATGTGAAAAATTGGACTGATGTTGACATGTGATAGTAACGCTGCTGTTAGATTTACCGATGTTTTACTTTATTTTTATTTTTTCATCCAATTACTCGATTGATCGTAAGAATACTCGATGGATTACTCGATTACTAAATTATTCTTTTACAACAGCCCTAGTGGTAATCTTTTAAAAGCTGTCCATGAACCGACGGCTGGATCAAGTGTGGCCAGGATTGTTGTGTGCGTCATGATGTGTTGTGGAGAGAAACCTCAAGCAAAAGAAATAAATGACAGGTGTCAGGCAGGTAAGTACAGATGAACTGTAAAGACACATTGGGAGCTGAAGAGGAACAAGAGAGAAAACAACGAGATACTGGAATGAAGCGAGGAGCACGAAGAGGTAGAAACTCGATGAACTCAGGGCAATAAAATCCAAATTCCAACTAATCATGGAAGCCTGAGGGTTGTGAAAGCTGGATTTTGTAGTCCAATCCAAGAGACTACCTACTGTAGTTCAAACTTTAGAAAAACTCTTTGCTGGTTCTGATGAGTTGATGACAGAATGCAGTATCAGTTTGTTCTGTATGGAGCTGCACAGCAGGAGGCCAGTTAAGGAACAAGTGATCTTCCCTGACGGCTC